TAGATCTTGTTATTACTTTCTATCCTTAAGAAAAAATAGAAAAAAAAAAAAAAAGAGGGATAACAAACAAAAAAGTATTGTTTCTATACTACTTCTTTAATTAAAAACTATTCAACTCTTTCAGAAACCAATTACATTATCAATTTGATATTGTATAACTGGAAATATGTGAGGAGTATGTGTTTTGTTTACTTTTTCTGTAGTTGACATGATCAACCAATCTGTGGTCTTGACAAATTATCTTTTAAAAAATCCATGTGATTGAAAATTTAGAATCAAACTAAGGTAAGCAAAATTTTCCAGAAAAATAAAAATAAAAGAAACACATTTGACAAAGAAGAAGTAGAATATCAAAGAAATAATAAAAAAATTGAAAACTTCTTTATTCTTGTTTTTTTGAATTTTTAAATCTTTTAAAAGCTTTTGGAAAGTATTTTTTTTGTTAGTTTTCTTCCTAGAAAGGTGTTTTTGCCATAAGTCTTTTAGGTAGATTTTTTGTATTTAGTTATAAAAATAAATAAAAAAAGTTTTTTGAAAAGGAAAAAACAAAACAAATAGTAGTTGTTGCTTACTTTGCTAATTAAAAATCAATGTTATTAAGGAAAGTGTATAGACTTTATTATTATAAAGATATAAAATCTTAAAAAATGTTTGGTTTTTGAGTTGATAAAGGAATTAATAGAAAGAATTATAAAAAGAAAATAATATATATTTTTAAAAGAAATTTTAAATTTTAAATTATTTTACAAATATATTATTTTTTTTATAATTTAAGATAACAGGGTTAAAATATTCAATTGTTTTAACAATTTTTATAAAATAAATATTTTTTAATAAAATAAAATAAATTAATAATAGAATTCTATTTGTTAATTAAATTCTATTTAATATAAAAATTAATTTTTTTAATATATAATATATAAGTTTATATAATTAAATTATAACTATAATCAATTATTTATAAAGAATAATAATACAATAATTATTAAATAGTTATATAAGAAAATTTAATGTTAATTAATTAATACTTTTATTTAATAATTTGAATTATATAAATAATAAAATATTACAAATCATTATTTTTTTAAACTATTAAATTTAAAAATTAATTTATATATTTTATTGTTTTATAAATAAATATATATATATACGTATATAATTAATTTATTAATAAATAAAAAAATTTAATTTAATAGTTTGAATAATTTTTTGGTTTTTATATAATGATTTATAACAAAAATTCAAAATTATTATCATAAGTTTTTTAATTTTTTTTACAAAAATACATTTATTATAAATGAAATTTTATTTTGAATTTATAATATATACAAAATTGACATAAATTAATTATCAATAAATTTATTAGAATATTATAAAACTTTATAATTAAAAATATAATAATTTGTAAATATATTATTAAAATTGTTATTAAAATCATTATAATGAATTTTAACTTTAAATTTATTATTTTTTATATTAATATTATTTAATATTAAATTGAATTAATTATTTCTTAAAGTTATAATTCAATTGGATTTGACAAAATGTTTTTATTTTGTATTAAAAACAATTTTTAATTTATTGAGATTTTATTAAAAATTATTATTTAACAAAATGTATTATATAATTTTGAATTATTAAATATTAATAAATTTTATTATATCATAAATAAAATTTATTTAATAAGATTAATTAATAAACATCAAATAATAATTTAAATATAACAATATTAAATATTTATAATAATATCCAATGACAAATATAATATAATATCAAATGATAAGTCAAATAAAAAAATTTATTGTTATTTTAGAATAAAAAAAATCAAACAAATATATTATTAAATAATTGACTTGATATTAAATTTTTTTATAAATTGATAAAAAAACATATTGTATAATTATAATTTTAAACTTATTGTTTTATTATAAATAAAATGAACCATTTATTGTTTTTTAAACACATTTGTTGTATTTAAAAATCCAGATATTACATGATAAATTAAATTTTTTTGATTTAAAAAAAATTATATATCTAACCTATTTTTTTTTATTTAAAAATTTTAGATAAATTTGTTTGAAAAAAAAGTAAATATAATAATCAGAAAAATTTATTTAAATAAATTTGTTTAAAAAAATTTTTAAAAATTTTTAAAACACAATAAAAAATTCTAATCAATTTTTATTTAATCAAATTATTATTTTTTTGAATTGCAAAAAATTATTATTTACCGTAAGATATAAACTATTCCATAATTTGTTTGATTTTTTTTATTTAAGCAGAATTTTGTAATGATTTATGTAATTACGAAATTTTTTACCGTGAAATTTGGCTCTTGTAAATTATATTTGCAATGATGAACATGTTACATTTCCATTTATATATTAGCGTTTCTTCGATAATTGTTGACTGACATTTTCACAATATAAGGTCTTCGATGAATAAAGGCACATATGCTAAAAAACAGTTAACCTAAATGAATAAGACAGTCTGTCTAAAAATTTTGTGCCATTATGGTTTGGGTTTTTTGACCCTGCATTATTTCTTTGTGTCAGAATATTGTTATTAAAAAGGAAATTAAGGTTTCTTGTTTCTCCTAGTTAATTATTACAAACATAAACAAAAAAAACTTTTTTTTTTAAAAGAAAATTTGTCCAATGTTCTACTCTACGGTGGAAATCCAAACATATGAATTTGTGTGAACTTTTGTAGATATTTAAAGTTACAACCTACGTGATACCACTCAATTAATACATGGTGCAAGCGTTAATTTAATAAGAAACACGCAAACTAGTTCATTTGTTTGTTTGTAAATTCTCATAATGTATGTTTATATGCAGGGGTAGGTTCGATGTCGAAATATTGTTATGGCGGCCGACATGGTATAGTTCGTTGTAGTCTACTCAACGTTCGATATAGGCTCGGAAGTTTACCACAGAACATGGCATCGTGAATTGTTCCGGGGATGCATTCGTCAAGTAACTCATCCACATGTTCGTTCACATCATATCCCAAAGATCTGATAAAACGATGTTAAGATTTCTTTGTTCCGCCTCCGAAAGTTGATTCTTTTTCATTATTAGTCTGTAACAATAAAGATGTTTGGGAGAAATTAGGTACACTGGCGTAACGTAATCGAATCTGTATTAAAAGATTATCTACAATCTTTGTTAATAATTGTACACATGCAGTATATACAGTATGCGGTTGTGAGAAGACAAGGAGATGAAAATTTATGGGGAACGGAAATCACGGTTTCTTTCTTTCTTTCTTGTATACTTGTTTCAGAACAAGGCATCATCTGTTTTCCGTTTATTTTTGGTGGAAATCTTCAAGAATCTTCGGTCATTCCGATTGACCAGTAATAAACGACATAATAAGAAATTTTTAAAAAAAAGTTAATGGACGCATCTTAATTATTCAATTTACCATTTTTGTTACGCTTTCAAACTTGTATTCCTATAAAAGTGATTTCGCCGAGTGGTACCAATTATTCGATGATGTGATTGATGTTAACCAGAAGATTAAAAGTAATTGGGGTTAGCCTCACGTGAAATAAAGCTCATGCCCGATTAGGGTAAGACGATATCGAGATAGATTTTTTGGTCGTGCATTGTCAACCCGGCGGGCACCAATGAGGGGGAACAATTTGAGGACGTATTCGCTAAAAACGGCTTATGCCATGCAAAAATTTTGTTAAGAGATGTGTTAAATTTATTAAACAAATTCTCATTGGATGTCGTGCTCACAATTAATTACTACTATAGTCCAAATTAGGAAAACAGCATCCGAACGTTGCATAATGATGGAAAATCGCTAAGAAAAGGAAAGATTAAATGTGAGTAGACGAGTCCAAAGTTTCAGGAGATAATGATGAAAGTTGACGAACAAATTTTAGACTCTGGTTCAAAAGATTGAATGCAGGTTTATTTGGTTGATCTAGTAATCGCGTGGATACATTGCCTTATTTTAGAGAAGACAATCGAAACTGGAGCATATATTGGTCACATGATTTGAACCTATATTCCTGTTTTAGGCACACCTGTATTCCGGAAGAGGAATTTGTTAATATTTTTTTCGTGCGACGGTGCAATAGAAACCTGAATAGGAGAACGAGAGAAAGAAACAACAACGAGAAATGGAAAAAGCTCACACCAACAAGGAATCTTGTGACTAAGAAAGAGAATGGGGAGAATGGAATCCTTATTGGTTGATGCCGGGATTCCTTATGTTGAAGGTTACACGCATGCGCATCTTGCTTTAATTGTATGTTTCGGTTACGACTTCAGAAAAATGATGACAATCATTATACATTAGGTGGTTTAACTCTTATACAATTATGTAATACAGCACGTATGTTAATAAATGAAGTGTTCGGATAGGTTAGTGCGGTAACGCATTAGATAATTTTGATTAGAAAGGTTTGTTTCACAGGGGATTTATAGAACCACTGGTCTTTTTCTCAAGTGTTAACAAACAGACGGTGTGACATTCCTTGTGCTCGACTACTGTCTTTGTCTGGTAATAACAGTCATGCTTCACATATAATTTCCAATCTAGTGAACAAGGTCTTAACCCATCCTAATATGGTCATTTCCAATTAAACGTAACAAGGAATGTCTTTGTGCACCATCCGAAATTCATTTTAATAGCATCGGTGAACGGTCCTTCTTCTCAACTTCATTAAAAGCGCTCTTTGAACTGAATAACATAGGAGAATTAGGGAATAACCTTTGGTAGTTTAAAATCGAACACATAATTTGCCGCCTTTAAACTTCCAAAAACGTTCCTTCTTTCATTTTATCATATAAAAGATCTATTACTTTATCCTTCACCGCCTCTCTTCCCTTTAAATCCGACTTGTAACATACATACCATAACCTCACGCTGGCGTGTGCTATTCATTTTTTTTAAAGACAGTAATATTTTAAATTCGTTTCTGTTATACACGAGTCCCGTTTGTTGACGGTCGTAACGTTCAACCCTGTACAAAGCAAAAAATGATTCGTATCACGCCCATCCTCCTCCCTGTTCTCCTTTTATTCTCTTCGCTTTGCGCTAATGTCCTAGCTGGTTTGACTTTACAAGAAGATACTATCAGTTATACAGATGCATCGACAATAAGCCTTACCGCTTCACCTAATGCCGCAATTGAGTACACCTCCGATAATGATGCGATTACTAATACCCCCGAACCTGCAAACAACATTGCGGTAAATAATCGACCTCTTCATCTGTCTTTCTTTTTTGTCATTTGTTTATTTCTTAATTTTTTTTTTTTTCTATTTGTTTATCGTTACCTCACTTTTAGGGAATTTTGTTCGGTGTCTCTGGCACATGTTCGCCAAGTAACATCCAAACCATTCCACTATTGTCCACCATTCCATCAAGCGTTAATAATTCAAGGATCGCTCTCTTTAAGCTTGACAATTCGTGTTCAATCTACGATCAGATATTCAACGTACAGAAAGGTGGTGCCATTAGTGCGATCGTCTATATCGAAGGGGCTTCTTCGAATGGAACTTCGACCACCGTTTCACCAAGTGATATAAAGATTCCTGCAATTAGCATCAATGCCAATACGTTTAATGCGTTGACAAAGAATTTGAACGATACCGCTGGCCAACCATCCCAGTTGATTCGCGTCGTGATGATCCCTTCACAAAGAAACTTTGGTAGTGCATGGCAGATCGCCATTGTTGTCATTGGTTCATTACTGGCAATATCTTTTTTGGTGTCTGGTAAGTCGAAATTTTATAAATACCACGGACATTTTTTGCTTCATGCCTCACTCAAGTCAAGCAGCACAACTAACAAACAATTAATTTCATCTCTTACTCTCTCACTCTTATATACACACACACACTCACTTATACATACACTATCACTCACTTCATTCATTCATTCATTCATTCACTCATATCATATATACACACTCATATATATTGTATATACACACACATTGTATATATACTGGATAAAAAAACATACACTCATATATAAACATATATACATACATACATCTTGTATATACATATATACATACACAACATATACACCCCCCTAAAATCTTTCACCATTACCAAACTACTAGTCTTAATCCACTGTCGTCTGTACCAACTTAGGCGACGCGAGCGTAACATCATGATTGCCCAACAAGAAGCTAACATCAATGCCAAACAACAAATGTACACATTAGAGAAGTCGATCGTCAAAACTTTCCCGACCATTGTCTACCGAAAGGGTGGCGATGATCAGAACGAGGACCCATTTGAACTGGTTGGTGCTTCCATCTCTGGTGTCGGTTCATCCAAGAGCAAAATGAATGATGAACACGTCACCGATGCCTGCGCAATTTGCTTGGAAGAGTATGAACATGGTGAAACATTGAGACAATTACCTTTGTGCTCTCACTCATATCACAAAGAATGTATTGATCGCTGGTTGACTACCAAGTCGTCTCATTGTCCGCTATGCAAACAAGACTCTACACCTCCTGAGGTTGCCAAGAAGAGAGAGAAGAGATTTAAGCAAAACATGGAAGTACAATCCAGACTTGACACCATCTACAATACATCAAACGATCGCGGCAGCAGCCGGGATGGCGACGATGCGGGAACTGGTTCCTCAAAATTCGGTCGCATCCTTGATTTGCTCGGCTACGGAACCGGTGGTCATGATGTTAATATTCACGTGAGACCAAATGGCGATGGTTTATTCGCAGTGCAAGACTTACATTCGACTAGACAAGATGGTGTGGCGAGAATTGTATAAAAACTCATCATTCAAGTGATAGATCACCGCATCATCTGTATAAAGGTCATCACCTATCATTCTTCATTGGAGGTCGACTTTTTATTACATTTTACATTGTAACTCAATTTGGCATTAACATTTGCATTTGGCTTATTTCTTTGCATCCGCACATATATACATAGACTCATACATATATATATACTCATTCGTGTGTACATGATATATTACTGTTCATAGATCTATATATACAATTTGCATTTACACAAATTACACTTTCACGCATTTTGCATTCTCAATAAAGCATTCTCAATGCTCCTATCTTATAAGAGTTTTTCAGCTGTTACTATCTTCTGTAGTTATACATCCTCCCTTCCCACCCCATCAACTCCGACACCCCACTTTCACAACCATTCCAAAGTTCTGCACATGTATTTATCTTATCTATCGCCTATATTTATTCTTACATTCTTTTTGAGATTATGACCTGTTATACGGTATACATACTTGTAAAAATTGGATATATAAAAAATAAAGCAAAACATTATGTATCACGCTTCATAACCAAATTGTTTGCAACATATCACATTGAATACGTAAATAATGAACTATGTACTGTAGTACTGACTGATGCTGCATACTGCATCACAATGATATACAAATAATGGTGTACAGTATACTGTACAATAATGGCTCCACTGTATATCACATATCACATGTTAAATCTATCACTTACTAATACGTACATATAAGCACATAAGCAATACTTTATACAGTAATACATATCGGTAATTTATTTAACATATTGAATTGAATTTTTTACATGAATTCACAAAAGACACCAAATAAAAAAAAAGTTTACGATTGATAAGATTCGGTGATTAAAATTTTCTTCTCTTGATCCGAACTTTCAGCTCACTGCAAGTCCTCAGAATGGTGGTAAAGTATTTTAACGGGGCGTCCCTATTCACCAGTTCAACATCATACTTTCTGTATAATAGCGCCAATGTGAGTTTTAACTCTAACGTCGCCAAGTTCCTTCCGGGACCTAACAGCATATAATATTATTATTGTTATTTGTTCAAAATATTAAATAAAAAAAGTCGATAGAACAGAATAACTTACACTTCCTCAGTCCACTACCAAAAGTGTAAAGATGGGTTTTAACTTCCGAATTGCGTTTATTTAAGAACCTATCCGGATTGAATTCTTCCGGGTTCGTCCATAAAGATTCACGCCTGTGAATTCCTTGTAAATTAACAAAGAATTGTGTATTCTTAGGAATCTTCACGCCATCAATCTCATCAGGATTTGTATTACTTCTGGCTACCATGGGAAAAGTTGAGAATATTCGTGTACCTGTAAAAAAAGAAGTATGCTTAAATTCACGTGTCATTTTCTTCCTAGCCGTATCGGTAAATATTGTTCATACAGTACATTCATTAATTACTGCTTCACAATATTCGAGTTTTCCTACTTCTTCATAAGTGATATTCCGGTTCAGATCTTTCCCCACGACTCGATCAACCTCTTCTATCAGTCTTTCTTTAACTTTTGGATAACGAGACAGATAATGTATTATGAAGCTGGTTGTATTGGCCAACTAAATATACAGTATATTGAGATACAGTAGTTATTGTAAAATCGTGCTAATATATGAGGGCCACCCGAAACGTGTTTAATGGTAAATACTCACCGTATCGATTCCACCTGACAAATTTTCTATAAAGAGTCCACAGATTTCTTCATCAGTCATAGGTCTGTCGTGTAAACTATCCGCAATTTTTTCGGTAATATCACGTGGCGTATTTATCGTGATAAACATTGTTAATAAATCATGGGCCAACTCCTGATCTTCGGGTGTTTTTTCAATCTCTTCTCTTCTTTCTTTGATAATGCTATGGACTTTCCTATTTAACCAGTTCAATCCTTCCTTTAATTTTTTCGTGTATATTCTGATTCCCGGGAATTCTCTAATAAGTTTCGGAAATGCTAGGAAGTATATGAGACACATCATATAGTTGTCAACAGCATCTATGAGAGCGTCGCCCTCCTTTAAGTGATTTTCGGGCACATGGACCTTTTTATCAACCGAAATACTATTATGATAGCTAGCCAATGAGTATCTGTGCTTACTAGCGGTCATAAAAAATATGTTATCCATAAAATATCTTTTGGTCCAATGGGGAAAATTCAATACGGTATCTTCTCCAAGCAGTTCCCAATAATCTTCCATCTCTCTAAATATCTTCTGAACGCTATCCGTGGCTTGAACAATAAACGATAGCTTTAATAGCGATCTCGCATAAAACCTTCGATAATATTCCCAGTTTTTATAATTCAAGTTGTAGACAACCCCGGAGTCCAAAAATCCAATTTCTTTAAGGCCGTCGTTGTCCGAGGGCGTTCGTCCGTGAAAGTTGTTGCGAGCCGATGGTATCGACATTTTTTGAGCCAAATCTTCTCTACAGATCCAAACAATCCTCTGGGGGCCTATATAAGTTTCATAAACGTCCCCATATTTCTTTTGGAGTTGAGTTGGCCAATCGCCGAAATCCCTAAAGACTAGAAAGATATTGCCAACTAGAGGAAGGGGAATAGGTCCGGGGATAGGATTTTCGCGAGTAAAGTATTTGTAATAAAAATGAGAAACGTAGATGATCACAAGGACCAATATGATGGACAAGATATCGTTAAAAATGTGTAGAACCATGATTTGTTTGTATTGAATGGAATTTGCATTTGAACTTTGGAACAAATTCAAGCTATTTATACTTCGTTAGAAGTTTGATTATTCCGTACTGTACTGTATACAGTATCGGAATTCACTCGAATCAATCTACTAATTAAGTAAAATGTCTTTATGTTTAAAAAGCAATGTGTCAATCTAATGCACAAATTCTCTGTACGATACAAAATAGGTTATTTCTATACAGGGAAACCGATAGAAAAAATGTTATTTATAAATAAGGGATTTTTATAGAGTTCATTGACAAATACTTGATGATCGGACCGCCGAACAGTTCACAAGTGCGTTTGTGATGATTAGGCTTTAACTCTCAGTGTTTTTATTATAGTGCCGATTTCGATCTATTCTTAAGATACAGCCTTTTCACTACTATTACTGTAGTAGCATGACCCCACGATACTACTATAAAAAAAAAAGAAGAGAGAATTCAAAAGATTGTTCAACGTACAAACTCGATAAAAATAGAGTCATGTGCATTTATGTGATCATAATCAAAGAAAAACTTACACTTTAGAAATACAACTTCAACCGGCATTCTATGTAACCTGAACATTTGAACCGGAATAGAAATAACGGATTATCTATTCAACATACAACATTCAATGCATTAAATTTGCATGGATTACATAACAGATCTAAAGAATTATGCGATTAATCGATATATCGGATACTGGTATAGTTTTATATTTTACAATTGACGTTATTACACATTTTTAAATTATCATGCCAAGCATATCAAGTAGTAAAAATAGATATGAATTCTTTAATAAAAAAAAACCTTTTTTTCAGCGTCAAACTACTGTAATGAATTAGATAACGCCGTGCGATAAATGTTGTTTTAGGTAATGGCTAATCTCAGGCCTTATCATATATACTGTAGGTCTTAACTTTTAATCTTCGAGATTCTCATTTTCAAATTTTCGAATCGATCGAAAAAATTATAATGAACTGTAACTCTATGTAATTACATTGTAGCCTAAAAAATACCTCTGACCAATAGTAAAAAGAAAAAAAGAAAATAGCAAAGTTTACATATTGTTTTTCAATTTATAATATTTATTATTTTTGTTGCGATATAATTTTTAATAACCAATTTATTATTATCAAAGTGGTTTGTCATTTTCTCTTTTCAATAGTATTATATTGGTTGTGTGAATGACTTTATTAAAGTTCAAATTTCCGCAATTTCTTGAATATTATATCATCATCCTCATTTTTTTAAATATTATTATTTGAATTATTAAAATCCAAATTTTTTTTTAGTTCCAAATTATTCATTTCAAATATTTCAGAAACTTTTTTTAATATTCTTATCTAATATTATCAAATACATTGTTTTACTTTATTTCAATATTTCTATTGTCAGCAATTGTCATCTGTGACTAAAAATACATATCATGATAATTACGAGTTAAGAAAATTGCCAAATAATTTAATCCATCCTAATTTTTTCTATCTGATTATTTTAACATATTTTTTTATCTACATTATTTGTTGATTTTTTATTAAACAAATAAATCATACGAGGAAAGAATTATTATAAAGAAAATTGTATAAAACAAAAAAAAAAAAACATAACAATATTGATTTTTGGAATGCAAGAAATCGATTAAATAATTCTTGACATAAAAAATATATGTACAGTATATGATTTAGTGAATACAATTATTATGATAACCATATCCGTTCATCATCGTATAAAATTATTGATTAGATAAATACTGTACAGTATACAGTATTGTCAAAATTCAATCATTTTTTTAATTAATTGATTATGCAGAATTTTTATACCAGAAAAAACGATGAAAAAATAAATAAAATACTAATATAATTTGTATTGTACATGTGTGTTGTTTTAATTACATATTATATTTTTTGTATTAATTATATGCATTTGCCTTTTGAAATTAAACCTTTAAATTTATAATAATTCGAACATGCGTACTTTGATGTTTTTAAAATTTAAATTCATTATATAATATAATAATTATTATGATTTTCTTTTTCGCTTGGATTTTTTTTTTAATAAATAAACAGCACCCTTTCATTTATATGCTGTATATGAAACGATATATGTCTGGATACAAAATACAAAACACAAAGATATTTAAAATATTAAAAATATTAAGTAACCAATAAATTAACTGATGGTTTTTTGATGATAATTATTTTATAGGCATTTATTAAGAAATGATAAATACAAACGGGGGTTTTTTTTGTCCACATTGTATATGTACAGTATATGTATTATATCAAATTTTTTTATATAAAGCCTTTGTCTTTTTTATTTAATGGGTTAAATTATTGAAAATAATTTTTTTTTTACTTAAATACATTTTACACACTAATTACAATAAAATAAAATTTTCTGATTAAGCATTTCTCTTCTTAATTTGAACCTTCAGCTCATGGCAGGTCCTGAGTGCGGTAGTACGAAATTTTATCGGTGCATCTCTATGCACCAGCTCGATATCATACTTTCTATATAGTAGCGCTAAAGTAAGTTTTAACTCTAACATCGCCAAGTTTCTTCCAGGACCTATTAAAAATAATAACGATGATTTAGTCTTGTTTGCTTAAAACAAAAAATCAATATACGGTAATAAAATGACCTACATTTCCTTAGTCCGCCGCCAAAAGTGTGAAAATGATCTTTAATATCCATATTACCCTTATCCATAAATCTATCTGGATTAAATTCTTCTGGGTTTGTCCATAAAGATTTGTGTTTGTGAATTCCCTGTAAATTGATGTAGAATTGTGTGTCTTCAGGAAACACTAGACCACCAATCTCATCAGGACTTGCATTTCTTCTGGCTACCATGGGAATTGTTGTAAATAATCGCGTGCCTGAAAATAACAAAATTTTTGGACATGTATAAATTCATGTTTCATTTTTTTTTCCTAGCCCGCATCAGTAAATACAGTAAGAGCCTTTTACATACATTCCTCGATTACAGCTTCACAATATTCGAGTCTTCCTATTTCTTCATAAGTAATCTTATGATTCAGATCTTTCCCCACGACTCGGTCAACCTCTTCTATCAGTCTTTCTTTAACTTTGGGGTAACGAGATAGAAAATGTATTATGAAGCAAATGGTATTGGACGACTAAATTATACGGTGATAATTATTGCAAAATGATGTTAATATATGAGAGTCATGAAGATGACCAATGATAAATACTCACTGTATCGATTCCACCTGATAACGTTTCTAAAAAGAGTCCACAGATTTCTTCATCAGTCATAGGTCTGTCGTGTAAACTATCCGCAACTTTTTCGGTAATATCGCGTGATGTATTGATTGTTAAAAACATTGTTAATATATCATGGACCAACTCCTGACCCTCGGGTGTTTTTTCAATTTCTTCTCTTCTTTCTTTGATAATACCACTAACGTTCTTCCTCAGCCAGCTCAATTTGTCTTTCAATCTCTGTGTGTATATCCTGATTCCCGGAAAGTCAAATATATATTTTGGAAGTACTAGAAAGTATAGGAGACACATCATAAAGCCATCAACAGCATCTATGAAAGCCTCACTTTCTTTTAAGCTGTTTTCGGACACTTGAACCTTCTTATTGATTGAAAGACTATTATAATAGCTTGCCAATGAGTATCTACGCTTACTAGCGGCTATAAAAAATATGGCATCCATAAAATATCTTTTGGCCCAACGGGAAAAATCTAATTCGGTGTTTTCATCGAGCTGTTCCCAATAATCATCCATCTCTCTAAATACTGCCTGGATACTATCCGTAACTTGCATGAGAAATGATGACTTTAATATTGACCTTGCATAAAACCTTCGATAGTATTCCCAAGTTTTATAATCCAAGTTATAAACAATTCCGGAATCTAACAATCCAATTTCTTTAAGGCCGTCATTGTCTGGGAGTGTTCTTAAATGAAAGTTATTGCGAGATGATGGTTTCAACATTTTGTTAACCAAATCTTCTCTACATATCCAAATATTTCTCTGGGGGCCTATATAAGTTTCATAAATGTCTCCATATTTCTTCTGGAGCTGGGTTGGCCACTCGCCGATATCACTAAAGAGCAGAGAGACATTACCAACTAGAGGAAGGGGAATTGGTCCGGGGAGAGGATTTTCACGAGTGAAATATTTATAATAAAAATGAGAAACGTAGATGATTACAATGACCAGTATGATGGACAAAATATCGTTAAAAACGTGTAGGACCATGATTCATTTATGTTAAATGGAATTTGAACTTTGAAAGGAATTCTAGTTATTTATATTCCATCAGAAACTTTAGCTACTTGTATATCTGGACTCATTCGAATTACTGTAATATACTATTTTAGCAAAAGATCTTTGTTTAAAAACAATACATCAATCCAATGCAGTACTTTGAGGCGCATTCTACAATCTTTTTCATATAGGGAAACCTATAGAGAAGAATTATTTATAAATAAGGAATTTTATAGACTTATTACAAAAATTCCTTATCAGTCGGACCGTTATGACCTTCAATTTTCTGGGTCCTATTTTTATATTTCTATGCCACGGCACTGGTACACAGGTGTATACAATTATTCTTTCGCTGGTGTCATGTAAGGCATGTGACACGATTTGATATGGTTCTGGCATTATGATAAAGTTAATGCACAATTTATTAAAGTATTTAATTTTATTATCGCAATATTGAAACTCTAGTCATTCTCTTTTTTTATTTGAATTTTTAGAATTCTAAAAATTGATTATTTTTTATTAATATTTAATATGTAAAAAGATTCATGTAATAAATTTAAAAAATATATTTTTAAAGTAAAAATTGTTTTTTCAAACCATTATTTTAATATTATTGTTATTGTTAATTAAAATGAAAATTATTACATACAGTGGTGGCCATAAATAATGGAAATTGTAAATTTATTTTTATTTATTTAAAAAAAATATTTATTACATAAAAAAATAAAATAACTAAACTAATGTACTAACTAATATATTTTTTTCAGTAATTTATTTTATGACCATTTTCAGTTACCAACTCTTTCAAACGATAAGGCATGCTTTTTAATAATTCAATCAGCATGCTTTTTTCAAGACCCATCCATTCTGATCTAATTAATTCTTTAAACTTGATAGACATAATAGATTTTTTTCTCGCACCTTCTTATTAATCTTTTTTTTTATTTTTTTAAAATTGCTCATAGATTTTTGATAGGATTAAGATCTGGCAAGTTTGATAGCCAGTCTAAACTCTTATATGAGAATTGATTAGAAATTGCTTTGTTGTCTTTGCCTTGTATTTAGAGTTATTATCCTGTTGGAAAAGCTAACCATGATCTATTACAGTCTGTATATTAGCAAAATTATCTATAAAAATTTGATGATATAACTTTTCATTTATATTTTGAGTAAAACATAAAAACTAACAATATCTTTTATTGAAAATACACTTCATACATAAACCTTGTATAGGTGTTTAACCATAAGACGTTATGGCCATTCTGTATTAGTTATATAATAAACTTGAATCATATTATGGAATATCTGAAAAATAGATTTATTAGAAAAAACAACTTGGCTCTATTTTTAATTAACATAAGCTTTGATTCATTCTAAGTAACAATTTTTGTGTTCTTCAGTAAGAGTAACTTGTTTAGAAATTCTAACCATCTATATGTGATTTGCAAGTACTCTGTTAATAGCTCTCACTGATATTTTTAGGTCTGAATTACTAATATTCAATTTAAATACAAGTTCTTTAGTAGAAATTTCCGAATTCTTCCTTATAAGTTTATTAAAATTATTGAATTTCTTAGAAACTAACTTGGGAGATTGTCCTAAATGAGATAAGAGTTTAAATTATTCTTTTTCTTAATTTTTTTATTTAGTTATATATGGTTATTTTAAAAAACCCAGTTTTTTTTATTAGAGAGATAGGGTTTTATTTATTGATATATTATAATATTTAAATGGCACTTCTTTAATAAGTAAGAGAATTATTCTCTATTTCTAATAATAATTATATTGGTATAGAAATATGTAATATATAAAAAAATTTTTTTAATAAATAAAAAAACATAAGCTAAAAAAAAAAACTATAATGATATGAATTGATAATTATAGTACAAAAAATCTTTAAAATTAGAAAATTAAAATTACTATTATTTATGACCAGTACTGTATCAAAATAATAATTAATAACTAATAAAATATTTTTTTAAAAGTGTTAAGTGAGGCATTTCTTGTAATCTTTATTAATTGAGTAAAATGTTATATAATTGATGTTTAGATTGTGAGATACATTACTATACATGTTAGCCTACCACCAAATAGATATATTTTAGCAAAAACCTTTTTGAGAAAGAAAAATAAAAGGAACTATCTATGTTTGGAGGGCTAATGCCTCCTTAATAATTTATTCTATCATAGAAAGACATTGATAGATTTTCAGAAAAAGATTAAATAACGATATTAGTATGGTTATTTAATTGTGGATTGAGAGATTTATTTGCCAGTAGCATTTTTACTTTTGTTTTTCTGTTTTTTGTATGTGATTGTTTGTTTTTTCTGTGTTTGTCCACTCAAGTAATGTTGTATATTTCTTCTTCTTCGTTCATACTTTTGTTTCGAGAAATCCATATTTCCTGATATATTAAGTTAAGAATATCGTTTTGGAGTTCATTCAGAATTTTTTGATGTTTTGGAGATGGTTTAAGGTTTGTAAAAAAAGGGTTGGTGTTTGTGAGGCTGAGAGCCAGGTTTATACAGGTGAGTGGTGAGTTGATAAGCTGTTGAAAAATTTTTGAATTGAAGTTTTTGTTGTTTTTGAAGGAAAGAGTGGCTTGTGCTTTGGTGTTTTTTATTATTTGGGTTATAGCCAGGTTGCTCTCTTTGCAGAGCCAGATATGGTGTATAGTTTCTGGAGCGGTATTACATCGAGGACAAAGATTGTTAGTATAAAGATGGGATAAGGTGGAATGTAAGTGAGATTTGGTTGGTAATGTATTGGAAAGAATTTTGAGGCAGAAGTTATATAATTTAGATTGGGATTGGATGGTTGGTAAAGAATTTTTTTTGAGAAAGATAAGTGTGTATTGTAAAAGAGAGAAGTCAGGTTTGAAGATAGTTTTTGCTCTTTCAGAATAGATTATGTTGGTTAACCTGATTGTTTTATTTATTTTTTTGATGAGATCTCATGTTGGGGGAAGTGGATTATTTTGTGTGTTTAGTAAAGTATATGGTAGAGGAAATGGGTTAGTTATATTGAGTTGGGATATGATTGTATTGTAGGATTGGGGTTTTTCCATTGCTGAAGTAGGTTTATAGAAAGAACAGGATATTTGTAATATTTGGATGATATTATAAATATTGCTGATAATAGTGGCATAGGGTAGTTTGCATTTTTTTCGATGATTGGAAGGTAATGGAAGCAAGAGTTTATTGGATATTTTTGTATATTTACAGAAGATAGTTATTTGCTTTGTTTTATTGATAAGGAGAATAAGAATTAAAGAGTAGAAGGAATGGAAGAGGGGGAAAAGAGAAGTTGATTGTATAGGATTATTGTGTTGAAGAAAGTTTTATGTTATCGTTGTTAAATTGGAGGAGTATTTAAATGTTAAGAGTATTTCAAGATTTGGATCCAAGGGGAATTGAATTGTTTTAAGAGTTTTTTGTGATGATAAAGTTAGGTGTTTTTGGATAAGAGATTTTCAAATATCAAATGGAATGTGAATTAGTGGAGGAGTTAGTGGTTTGTTTTGAGAATTGGATGTGAGTATGTTAAGAAGATCTAATTGAGTTATTTTGGTTTTGATTGAGTTATTGGTAAAAGGTTTTGTAAAAAGATTAAATGGGTTGTTTGATATGAATTGACATTTGTGGGAGTTATTTGAAATGTTAAAGTGGCAGTCAGAACATTTTGTGAGAATTATGGAACTGTTAGGATCATTGTTAGTTGCAATCCAGTGGTTAGTTAGGATATCATTATTGTTAGTTTTTTGTTTTTTGCTGAAGATAATTTTGTTATTTTTGAATAATGCTATCCATTTTCTTTTTTGGTTGAGTTTAGCAGGTATTGATCCTTTAGTAGAGTATTGGGTTTGGATAAGAAGTGTATACCATTGCAGAATTTTGCCTTGAATGTTAAAGCCAAATCTTGCAGAAATGTGATTCCAGTTTGTTAATTGATTGTTATTGTAGAAAATATTTTTTTTGGATAGTTCTTTGACAAAAATTGGCCATTTTTTATGTGTTCCCAGGATTAAAATAATAGGAGTAGATCCATTAGAGAATTCATGAGGACAATGTGAGGTTAAGCAGAGGAAAAGATTATATTGGTGTGCTAATAAAGTAGAGATTGTTGTAGTGTTATGTATGTGTATGAAGTTGTTTTTTAAAATACAGAGTAGGGCTCCGAAAAAGTACCGAACTGGTATCGAACTGGTATCGAAATGGTACCGATCTATAGTAAATTTAATATATGGGTTGTGACCTACTCATATGTTTTTATAGTAAATTTAAGTATCGAAATAGTATCGAAGTGGTATTGAAGTGGTATCATTAGGAGCCCTAATACAGAGTGGTTGACCATTGAATTTTTTAATAGTATTGATTTCAAGTTCTTTTAATGAAAGAGTTGTAGGGTTGGTAAAAGAGTATTGAAGGTTGGAGATAAGAACTTCAGATTGTAAATCCAAGATCAGTTTGATATTAAATATGTTGGGGTTGTAGAACCAGTATTGTGGAGTATGCATTCAATATTAAATTTGTGTTTAATTATAGAATCAATTTTTCTTTGAAGGATTTTAAGCATATTGATAGTTAGAAAGGTTGTTTGAAGTTTGAATTCAATTTGGAGTAAAAGAACTTTGTTATAGATATAGGTGGCCATAGGGCCAGTTGTATATTTGGATTTTAGGACTTGAGCTATATTTTCAGTTTTTTCAAAAATTTTTTGTCAATTGGGAGTGAGAATTCTGTGTTCGGAGAGCCAGATTTCAAGAATTCTGACTGATTTCTTTTTTTGGATTGGAAAAATAATTGTATTGTTTTGTGTAAGAGTTTTGTTAAAAGATGAATTGTTTAATACAATAAGTTTTGTTTTCGTGAAGTTTGCTTTGATATTATTGAGTATAAAAAATTCAGATGCCAGGTTTAAGTTTTGTTGAATTTTTATTTTTGAGGTTGCTAGAAGATTAAGATCATTTATATATATGATTGTGTTAACT